CATCTACAAAAAGTTCGAAGACTCCAACAGAAGTGGTTACCTCGATGAAGCTGCAAAGATCTATCATAGCCAAGCGGTCGTTGTGGAGAAAGGCAAAAAAGCCACGTACGGAAAAGAAGGTGAGCAAATGGCATCTCTATTGATAACTATAGAAATTATTAGCCAAAGTTTTGTCGGTATAAACATCCAGGTTGTATAAGCTGGAGGAAGACACCCTTCATATAATGCAGACCAGTCAATAACCCTAAGGGCTCTTGGATAATGGACCGCCTTCTTATGAGCACCTCCTGTTGCTATAGAGTCCTCATCCCAGGCATTGCTCTCAAGACACAGAACCAGTCACGGGTTTCAAACAAAATCTGTAGTCTTGCTAGTACCTCGGCTAAGGAGTGGTTTGAAGCGTAACGCTGACACCCTTTCACGAGAATACCATTGATCCTAACGGCATTCGGGAGTACGTTTCTCTTCTCCTTTTCTATGTCCAAACTGAGCTTTGGAGTTATACTTTTGAATGTGTAGGAGTCCCAATCTACCAACCACAGGCAGCAATTTCGAAGGTTTCGAAGAATACGCTATTCCATAACGACGTTTTCGACATGCTTTCTGTCGGAGCGACATGCCTTTCGACATGCTCCCATCCAACACCTCTTCCACTAGCTGAGCATGGAATTCCACAGACGATCGTTGTGGAACTGCATGATTCGCTAGTGGAAGATGTGTTGGATGAGGGCATGTCGTGTTCACGCTAACACTAGCTCGATGAAATCCCAATGTAAGGCGACTGGGACGCGATCAAGTATAACCGAAATAGTTTTTCCCTTTTCGCACTGTCGAATGGGACACTTTTCGACGCATTGAACCAAAAGACAACTGTAATGTAATTTGACAAACCTATTCAGAACACGTTTCCCATGCTTTATGACCTCATAGAAAGGTTAACTGAAAAAATGCCAGGAATAAGGCGAGTAATCGATTTTTAGTTATCGATACACAGGGTAAACTTTTCATTTCAGGTATTGTTCAAATACTCAAAGAGTTCTTCGAGAAAATCGGTCAACACAAGTTCCTGGTCAGTTCGTTTACTTCTTCTTTCCACAGCACTTCCAGTGGAAATATATAAATGCTACTGAATGAGTGAATGGCTATAAGGAGGAGAACGGGATTCAGAACCCACGAATAGTGAGCCCCACAGGGATTAAATCTACACCGGGATCAAACTCTGGCCCAAATTTTTCAGGACTCAGTTTTCGTCGAATTCCTCCTTTCAATTCCTCCATTCCAGATTCCTCCTTTTCCGAATTCTTGTGCCACATAACTGTGCAATAGAATTCCTAGAATCAAATCATTCCACTGCACCCGTTCAGCGAATTTGCGAACTTTGAAAACCTGCTTACAAATATAGGTATAAGCTCAAACAAGTAAGCATAATGATGGAAATTTGCAAGGAGGAATGTTAGATTTTTAAGATAAAAATTTGTTGTTGACCCATAACACAGTCTCATTACTTCAGACAACCAACGT